GGGAAATAGCGAGCACCTAAAGCGACCCGAACCCACCCCGCCTTGGGTGGGTGGAGCGGAGGCGGGCGCTCTAACCAACTGAGCCATTGCCAAGGACTCGGAATTGCTTTTTTAAAGTTCCCAATGAACCTCTTTGTTTTTTATATTTTCACGTCCATTTTCTAATCAGCTGTCGCAACATTTGAACCCTGTACCCAAACTGAATGTAGTCAAGCAAATTTGGTTTGCTCTTGAAGTAGCCCAGGTTAGTATGCACCTGCTCCATATTTGTAGCGGATAGAGATCAGTTGCTGCTTATCAGTCTCTCCTTCGTTAAAAACTTGACCATGCCTGCATGAAAACGCCTGTGAATTGAAAAATCCACATTGAACACTGATCCTAATACCGCACCTCCCATTGCCATGGGAGCTTATCGGACGTCGCCGGCTGTTTGCTCGCCGGCTGTTTTGCTTTGCTGTTCGCTAGTCTCGCCTGTCGCGCACGTCACTATCTTCGGCGACGATAGAGAAGGACGGCAGTAGTTGCCCTGTCGTTTTCATCAGCTGACGACCCGAGCCCCGTGCAGTGCGACACAAGCACCTGCACCTCAGGACCCGTGTTGTCAACCGGCCGATTGCGGCCGAGTGGCCGGGACTAGCACTGCTGCGGTGTTTGTGCTGGTCCGGTGTGAAACATCGGTGCCGGCATGAAGTTGACCCCGAACGATCGAGTGGGCCAGACCAGGTTAACAGATAGGGCACCCAAGAAGAGCGTGAGACCCCAATGCAAATAGGAAGTACCCAAGACTCCGTGTGGAGGGCCCCCAAGCAATCCAATTGTTCGTGCGAAAGAGTTCGTCAGTTTTCCGGAGGACCATCGACTTGAGACGAAAACAGGACGTTGAAAAGGAGGAGTCTCTATTAGCTAAAGAGTTGCAAGGCAAATGAAGAGAGAGGTTGGAAGGGCGGCGTCGCACACTCCGAAGTCGTCGTCGTCGTCGTCGTAAACGCTGTCGCGGCTCGCGTCAAGCCGCGCCGGCGGAGTCTGAACGTGGACTGCTTGGCAGAGACCGTGCGTCCCCGCCCGCGTGTCTCCATAAACCCACGTGGGTTTGTGGTCTCCAGATGGTGGGAACCAATCGGCAGAGGGGCCGCTCACACCCTCGCGGAGCCGCCGCCGCCGCGCCGGCAGCGACGGCCCGTTTGCTCGCTAACACCAATGTTCCCGAGAAGGTTATCAGACAGGGTCCTCGAAAAAACCGTAGGGCCCTACATTCAAGTAAGCACCACCCCAAAACCCAGTGTGGGGGCCCCGAAATATCGAATGTATCCAAGCAAGCTATCAGATCGCCCCTGACAGTAGCCAAGGTCTCTACATTCAAATACCCAAACCCATCGCGCAGGACCCCGGAGTAATCCGACGAGTAATCTGAAGTAATCCGAGCAATCTGAACGGATTAACAAATGGGGCCCCTGACAAGTGTGTTGGGCCCTCCAGATGAAATAGGAAGTATCCAAGACCCAATTTGGAGGGCCCTAACGATTGGGTGTGCCCAAGCTGGTTAACAGGACCACCGACAAAGCGTCGGTGGTCTTCCTACCACTCAGCAAGTAGTAGGAAATTGGTAGGTTCCTAGACCAATGTAGAGGGTCCAGGAGCATATTGTGAGTGAGTCGATAGGTTAACCGAGACCAGCGTGAAAGGCCCCTGAGCAATCGAGAATATCCCGGCAGGTTTACTTGGGGGCGGGGGGGGGGAGGGCTCAGCTTGAAGCACAAAGCCTTTCGGGCAAGGTGAAAGAACCCGTGGAAGGTCCCTGATTTACAAAAATGCGCCGGAACGTTAGCAGGAAGGGCCCCATTAACAGCGTGGGGCTCTCCGAACAAATGCGAGGCAATCAAGAGCAACGTATAAGGTTCCTTAACGATCGGATTGACCCTGCGTGTAGGTGCCCAAAAACAGCGCAGGGCATCTGGATGGCGCAATGAGCCTCAGAACCTAGCAATCACCACCGTCCTAATCAGCGGAGGATAACATGTGTCTTCTCGTGGACCCTTCACTTTTGCTTACGACTGTTCCTTGTTGCTTGGCAGCTCAAATGCATCTAATTGTGTTGCGTTCTGTGTGGAAAAACTGCGTCTGTTCGGCCGGCAATGGGCCCTTTCGTAGCCTATGGTTCCTTTGGGTCCCAATGAGACGGCATGGCTCTGTGCCACCTCTCCTCCTCCAGAAAGACAGCAATTTAAGGAAATGGATTATGTTGAACTCTGAAAGACGCCGTTGACTCAAATATGACGCAGCGAGCATTGCGGTTCCAAGCGTGGACCTCGGGTGGTGTCGGGAACTGTTTTGGTTGCGGTGCTGTTTTCCTGCATTGGTCGCAGTCGAGCCACCAGCGTTGCTTGATTTTAGTGCAGGTGAGAGATGATTTGGCTGGGATCACCGTCAACTTGTGTTCCAGTTACCTGGGCCCCGCGTATTTAACTTGCGTGTTTGACGTCAACGGACAGGCAACGACATCGCCAATGGCGTGTTGCTGATTTGAGGTATTGACTTAATGACCGAGCCTACATCACTTGGATTGTTCAGGCATATGAAGATCTTATCCTTTTGATGCTTGGGGGTTTGATTTACCTAATTATCTGGTTGGTAGATGAGGCTTGCAGTGCCTTTCAGAATATGGTAATTTCTAAGACAACTATTTTAGACTTCTTTGGATGACAGTTTATCAGCAAGCATCAGAAAACATTAGCATTTAATGATGTTACCATTGCAAATAAAATAATTATGTGGTACTGTGATAGCATTCACAGGATGCCACGCTATGAAACATGGCACTGATGTGACTGATAATTGGTGGGTAGGTCGGGTGAGCATTTTTGGGGCATTTGGCTTTTCTTCTTTTGGTTTCTTGAAGCATGTGGCACAGCCCAACAAGTTAAGGGTAATTGAACATGGGCCCTGATACCAGGCATTTGGGTTTGATCTCCATGCTATACCACAGCAGTCAACCCAGCAATTGCCTTGCTTTAAACTTCTGCACATGCCTCATGCTACACCGATTTTGTCATCAATCACATAATCTGAATATATATATATATATATATATATATATATATATATATATGTGTGTGTGTGTGTGTGTGTATATACATGTATGTATGTAGTCAATTCTTCTCCTGCAGTTCCAAAGCCCCTACACAGATATTTGGAAACAAGGGATACAGTTGCATCTCTCCACAACAGTCAGAGTCTGTCCATGGTCAAGGTCTGCCCATGGAATTGCTCTGAACCTTTGGTTCTCTGCTGACAATGCCAGGCTGAAGACAAGAAAAGGATGTGAGCTCCATACCTGTATGGCCCAGCCTATATGTTCAGGCCAGCTCCATCACACTGCATTGGACAACACTGTGCATGCTAGCCAGATTGATAGGGATGGCTCCCAGTTCTCAGTTGTGGCTTTAGCAGCCATGTGGTCTGTATCCTCATGGCTACAGATCCTTGCATGATGAGGCATCTACTACAGTGTGAATGTCATGACCTGTCCTCCATGGCATGCAACAGCCTGCATACTGCTGTGTAGGTTTCCCCCATATCATAGTGTAGGGGTCTGTAGCGAGGTTCTCTGCTACAGCAGCTGCAGGCCAACTTGTAGTCTATTATGATGTGAATCTGACATGTGGACTGCTGGTCTGGTGACTGAAAGTTTGCAGAGTCAGCCAGTGAGTCATGGATCGCAACTAACTCTGGCCCCAGATTTCTGTGACCTTGGCCCTCTGATTACTGCAGACTTGGTTATCAGACTGCTACAGAATAAGCTTTCAGACTTCCTCAGACTTAGCTCTCAGGCTGATGCAAACTCAGCTGTCAGACTTCTTCAGGATCAGCCCTTAGGCCTCTTCAGACCCCGCCCTCAGACGGCTGTCCCGGCGGGAGGCACGCACAGTGTGTCGCGCACATGGTGTCTTGGCGCTGGCGAGGAGCTGGACCAGCACACCAACTCGCACGCACAGTGTGTCGCGCACATGGTGTCTTGGCGCTGGCGAGGAGCTGGACCAGCACACCAACTCGCACGCACAGTGTGTCGCGCACATGGTGTCTGGCGCTGGCGAGGAGCTGGACCAGCACACCAACTCGCACGCACAGTGTGTCGCGCACATGGTGTCTTGGCGCTGGCGAGGAGCTGGACCAGCACACCAACTCGCACGCACAGTGTGTCGCGCACATGGTGTCTTGGCGCTGGCGAGGAGCTGGACCAGCACACCAACTCGCACGCACAGTGTGTCGCGCACATGGTGTCTTGGCGCTGGCGAGGAGCTGGACCAGCACACCAACTCGCACGCCACAGTGTGTCGCGCACATGGTGTCTTGGCGCTGGCGAGGAGCTGGACCAGCACACCAACTCGCACGCACAGTGTGTCGCGCACATGGTGTCTTGGCGCTGGCGAGGAGCTGGACCAGCACACCAACTCGCACGCACAGTGTGTCGCGCACATGGTGTCTTGGCGCTGGCGAGGAGCTGGACCAGCACACCAACTCGCACGCGCAGTGTGTCGCGCACATGGTGTCTTGGCGCTGGCGAGGAGCTGGACCAGCACACCAACTCGCACGCACAGTGTGTCGCGCACATGGTGTCTTGGCGCTGGCGAGGAGCTGGACCAGCACACCAACTCGCACGCACAGTGTGTCGCGCACATGGTGTCTTGGCGCTGGCGAGGAGCTGGACCAGCACACCAACTCGCACGCACAGTGTGTCGCGCACATGGTGTCTTGGCGCTGGCGAGGAGCTGGACCAGCACACCAACTCGCACGCGCAGTGTGTCGCGCACATCGTCTTTGTGAGCCGGCTCTATCTGCTTGGTTGGGGTGGGCAGATCCACCACGAACCGTGGACTTGGTGCGCTCGGTGTCTCAGGCGCCGAGGTGGGCTCGGTGGGCGGCAGGTCCCCGCCCTGGTCAGAGGTCGATAGGCGGGTCACACGCTGGCGCTCCATCACCGCCATCTGCTTGGCCAACAGCGATGGATGCACCTGGTGAGCACCTGGATGCACCTCAGCGCCTCTCAGGAGACAGCGCCTCTCCCGGTGATCCTCGGACGTAGTCAGTGGTGAGCCTGGCGCACCTGGTCTGCTTGCTCGGCGTCCAGCGGTGAGCCTGGCGCACCTGGTCTGCTTGCTCGGCGTCCAGTGGTGAGCCTGGCGCACCTGGTCTGCTCGGCGTCCGCTGATGAGCCTGGCGCACCTGGTCTGCTCGGTGTCCAGTGATGAGTCTGGCGCACCTGGTCTGCTCGGTGTCCAGTGATGAGCCTGGCGCACCTGGTCTGCTCGGTGTCCAGTGATGAGCCTGGCGCACCTGGTCTGCTCGGCGTCCGCTGATGAGCCTGGCGCACCTGGTCTGCTCGGTGTCCAGTGATGAGTCTGGCGCACCTGGTCTGCTCGGCGTCCGCTGATGAGCCTGGCGCACCTGATCTGCTGGGCGTCCAGTGATGAGACTGGCGCACCTGGTTTGCTCGGCGTCCTGTGATGAGCCTGGCGTACCTGGTCTGCTCGGCGTCCTGTGATGAGCCTGGCGCACCTGGTCTGCTCGGCGTCCTGTGATGAGCCTGGCGCACCTGGTCTGCTCGGCGTCCAGCTCCTCTGTCGCCGATGAGGTGCAGTGTAGGTCGAAGACGGCAGCGACGTAGCCGCACAGTGCATGTATGTAGCCGATGTAGGCTACTCTGATGACGCGCAGGTGGCTTCCGTACCACTTGGCGGCCGACACTAGCAGGTGCGGCTGTTTCGACGCCATCTGCTTCAGATTGGTGGTGATGATGGTTGGGTTTTCCGGGCTGCAGGGCGATAGCATGTGTTGTGATTTGTAGCTATCGGCTTGGTTGTCTGGATGTGTAATGCTTTTAGAAGGCTCTGGTTTTGAAGCTACAGTCATGCGATTGGTAGCCTTTCTAAAGGGTTCGGGTTTTGAAGCTACACTCCTGCAACTGGTAGACTGACTTGTTAGACAGATGCTATAACCACCAGCCATCTAAAGAGGATTTGTCTATCAGGCCAGCAATGTATATACCGATATGTTTATGTCTACCTGGTCTACACAAATAACTCGCTCCAAATACTACGGAACTTTACAACACCATTTTTTTATATTTGATCTAAACCTTTCCACTTGATGTATGTTGGGAATGCCCATGCCAAGCAGTACTTTATTCATGAGCCATGACCTCACAATCCGATCCTGAAATTCCATGTGAGCAAACAGGACTTTACGGTTAAAGCTTAGCCTACCGTAACGCTCGGCGCGCTCTGTCCTGCCCTCTGACGTCACCTGACCTTTAACGCTGCCGCTGCCACAAAACAACGCGAACTCATGTACTACGGGCGGGTGAACTCAAAGACAGGTGCTGTAACCAGCTGAGCTTTCAGGACAGGTCCACTGTACGTGAATATCGTGTGTACAAGGTCTTAAAAGTGGACGTCAGTGAGAGATCTTGCTATGACTCCAAGTGACCTAGCAAGGCATTACACGCTGGAGGTAAAGACGTGGCTCAAATTCGATCTGTTTTCTTAGGTAACTTTTGACTGGTTTAAGAATTATTGCTTGATATGTTACATGAAAATGATAAGTGTCTTGGAAGTAATCTGCGTTTATGTATGTATGTCAAGCGTAGCATGTGAATATGTGTAATGATGAATTTGCACGCTGATAAAGTACACCTTTAATGTCCCGAGAGGTGCTGGTTGAGCTGTCAACATGGATAATTTGGGGTATCAATAAAGTTAAGATATCAATCATTGAAATATGCGTTGAGCATACACGAAATATTGACAGTTGGCTCTCCCAACATCAGATCCCTTAGGCCTATCCCGTTAGAAAACCGGAGCAGAAAGGCCTTTTCCATCCGAGTTATTCACGCAGCACCTGCTTACTTTCAAGCAATATATGCATTGTTCGATCCTGCAGTGTTCCCACCGACTGACGCTGCGTGCGTGCCCTCAGCTGGCTGTACGTCGGCGAGCTGATCATGGAGGAGGCGGAGAGTGCCAAGTTCGAGCAGCTGAAGTCGCCTGGTCCTCTGAGTCAGGAGGAGCTCAGCGATCAGGACCACCTGGAGCTCTGGCTCGTCCGGCTCAGCCCGCAGGTACAAAACACAGCTCACCGGCGCACCGACCCCGGCCGCACAGGGACGGTGATGAAATGTGCGATGTGTGGTGAATGCCGCAAATGATGTGCGGAGAAGCACACATCCAAATTGGTCAAAAAGTGGTACTTTGTCATGTTTTGACTGTACATAATTCGTCATCATCTCACACTTGAAGCCCACAAACTACTTATCCAGATCCATGTATTTCTCCACATCGCGTACTACCCCTCAGCCGGAAAAGGGGTCGCCGCGTGCTATCTCGGCCGGGTGCACAAAGTCGTGTATTTCATAGCCAATGTGCGGTAAATGCCGAAGTGTGTTTCCTTCTCAGGGAGCGCCATGTCGAAATGACACAGAAGCAGTTGTTGTGTGCGGAAAGACTGTTGACAACTGCCGTCTGCGTGCTGCGGTTTTTACGGATGTGATCCGGGGGAAATGTTTGTCGTTTTCGGTGCTTTTATGATATTTCCTTTACTTGCGACAAACATCCGGCTAGGTGATGGGTTTTTGTCGTTACGTGATAAGGACATGGCTGCTTCATCAAGCGAGCTGCGGCCGGTCTGGGTACCAGCAGGATGCTTCGACTTCGCAGGCGGACACCCCGTGTGGCTCTGCTGCCCGCTGGCTGGCGTTCTCTGGCTTTGTTAATGCATTCAGTGTGAGCGATAGAAATGCTCCGCACTTGGCGCGCGCGGAACCAGCTGAATGTTCGTTCAAGCGAGTGCTTGTCTGTGTAGACCGGCCTCTAGCGGCGTTACGCTGAAGCTCTGTGTGCCGCCGCCGCCGCCAGGTGGACGCGGAGGAGCTGGTCGGCTGTAAGCTGCCGGTGTCTTCGGGCAAGAGCTCACGCTCCGGCGGACTGGAGCTGAACGCCGAGGCGTTCGTGCCGGCCGGCCTCCACCTGCTGGCGCCCAACAGGAAGGGCAAGAAGCTGAAGCCCGGTGAGCGGCCGGCCGGCCCAGCCGTGACAGGAGGGACCAGGGCCCTCCAGCCGTGCTGGAGTGGCCCCGGTCCCTCCGCCACGGTCCTGCTTCTCTGTTTCATGGAGGCGATTTTGTTACCAGCGGATGTTGATATGAGCACTGGCTGATGCGGTAGTTTGTGGCCAGTTAACGTTGGAAGTGAGCTCCATTGTAGTGGGTTCTGAGCTTCATTGGGTCGAACTCTGGCATAGGTCACCAGGCACTGTATGACTACGCAAGGAACTCCGTCTGGCCTTGTGTTGTCGACATCAAAGCAGTGCCGCCCTCGTGCTGGCTGTGGGGCGTGCTGACCAGCCCCGAGGCGGGAGCCGCGGCGGGCCCGTCCACTGAACTGGGGCCCTCGGACCGCGGCCTGAGCTGGGCCCTCCGACCGTGGCCTGAGCTGGGACCCTCGGACCGCGACCTGAGCTGGGGCCCCCGGACCGCGACCTGAGCTGGGGCCCTCCTACCGTGGCCTGAGCTGGGCCCTCCGACCGCGATCTGAGCTGGGCCCTCGGACCGCGCTGAGGCCTCGGACCGTGGCGTGAGCTGGGCCCTCCGACCGTGGCCTGAGCTGGGGCCCTCGGACCGCGACCTGAGCTGGGCCCTCCGACCGCGACCTGAGCCTGACTCTCCTCTCCGGTGCGCCACAGTGCCTGTCCCTCTGCGGGGTCAGATCACCGTACACCAGCGGCTGGACGTGCCCCCCGGCGACCCGCTGCCGCCGCCGGCCTCAGCCGTGCCGCCGCTGCCGGCCGGCCGGCCCGACCGCCACCCCATGCTGGGCGTCGGTGAGTGACGTCAGAGATAATGGCCATCCCATGCTGGGCATCATTGTGGTGTAGCCATGGCAACGGCGCTCCGCCACATTGGTTCCCTAAATGACTGAATGCGTGCTTTGATCTACACGGGCATGGCACCGTAGTGTTATTGTCTTGAATATTGCGCGATAAATGTGTCGTGTTCTTATCTTTTTAAATCAGTGGGTAACAGGTTTTTCAAATTATATTTTCCTTACATGAAAGGAGTCCTTATTGCACACACACACGCGTACGCATACGCACACACACACACATGCACGCACGCACGCACGCACGCACGCACGCACGCACTCGCACATTTGTATGTATACGTAATTAGCACTGTTCCTCTACTTTTTCACTTGTGAGTGACCGAGATGTGCATTTAAGTTTAAACACAAATGGTAAAGATCTCGGCACGCGTCATCTGCTGAAATGTGTTGGCCCCCACGCCGCTCTCGGCAGTTCGCCGACGTGATTACCTCCTCTATTTTGTGACGATTCGAGAACACCCTGTAACACACTACAGTGGGCTGGCTGGCTGGCTGGCCGGCCGCGGGCAGCAGGCGGGAACGGACCGCCTCGGTACGCCTCTGGGAGTGCGCTACGACTGCATGATCATGGAGGCCGCGGGCGGTGCGGTCCGGTCCGGACCGGTCCCGGGAACTGACGCCGACCCGCGTCACGCCGCGGTGGTGATGTACACACGTGTGGGGTGTTCGTGTTACCGCGCCGACCGGCTGTGGAGGACAGCTTCGTCCAGTGATCCAGCTGCCAACCTCGTGAGGTGCTTCCCTTACCGCGTCGCCCGGCTGTGAAGGAGAGCTTCGCCGACTGACCCAGCTGCCAACCTTGTCACAGGGTACGAGGAGGTACTGCGGGAGAGCAGGCGGGCGCTGGAGGCGGCGCAATCGCTGGACGTTTTGGACGGCAAGAAAAGTAAAAAGAAGAGAAAATCGCGGGCGCCTGAAGAAGACGCTGTGGTGATAGACGTGGGGAGCAGTCGGAAGAAGAAGAGGAAGTCGAAAGGATCGTAGGCGACAGGTGCAGGACATGGCCGCGTCGTTCGTGCGCGTGTCTTTTTTGAGCATTGAGTGTGTGTTTGGTTATCAGATCTTCGTCCAATACAGCTGCCAGCCATCAATATCTGCGTATCGACGCCAACTTCCCCGGGGATTCGTGACCGCTCTGTCGATGTCCTCGCACCCGCTGTCAGCTTCATCGGTCTCAACACTCGACACGCCAGGAGGGCCTCGCGTCACTGATCCGCCGAGGCCCCGCCCGTCGGTGGGGCAGTGGGCAAGGGCAGTCGGCGTCCGTCAGGCGCTCACCGCCGAGCGAGACCGTGTCGTGCTTCGTCCTCCGCCGACTTCCGACGGCCGGCCAGCGCCGCCGGCCGGCCGCCGCCTTCACCGACCAGAATAGCACCGCGCCGGTGCGGGACGGGCATGCTTCTCCTACCTGATCGATCCCGCCCACTGGCTTCACGCGGCTCACCGACCACCTGATTGTGTGCTCTCGGCCAGGTGCGTGCTGAGCCCGGCCGCGCGTCAGGTCCGGGATGGGTTCGACACAGTCCGAGGCTACGCGTCCATCCGCGCCGCTGCACCCCCGCTCGCCGAGCCGCCGGCCGAGGACGCGCCCGGGTCGGCTCGCTGGCGTGGCGCGCGCGTTAACTGGGGGCCGGGGGTGAGGTCAAGCGACGGCAGGTGCAGACGCGTGCGCCGGACCGTGGAGTGGTCCGGGTCCGGACGGCGCGAGCCTCGGCCGATGGTCTGTGGTCTGCTGTGGTCTGTTGCTGGAGCGGCCCCAGTCCGAACGGCGCGAGCCTCGGCCGATGGTCTGTGGTCTGCCGTGGTCTGTCGCTGGAGCGGCCCCAGTCCGGACGGCGCGAGCCTCGGCGATGGTCTGTGGTCTGCCGTGGTCTGCCGCTTGGGCCGCACGTCGAGGACCGGCCTGTCCGAGCCTCGGCCGATGGTCTGTGGTCTGCCGTGGTCTGTCGCTGGAGTGGTCCCAGTCCGGACGGCGCGAGCCTCGGCCGATGGTCTGTGGTCTGCCGTGGTCCGTCGCTGGAGCGGTCCCAGTCCGGACGGCGCGAGCCTCGGCCGATGGTCTGTGGTCTGCCGTGGTCTGTCGCTGGAGCGGTCCCAGTCCGGACGACACGAGCCCCGACCGATGGTCTGTGGTCTGCCGTGGTCTGTCGCTGGAGCGGCCCCAGTCTGGACGGCGCAAGCCTCCGGCGATGGTCTGTGGTCTGCCGTGGTCTGCCGCTTGGGCGCCGCGTCTCGAGACCGGCCTGTCCGCCCGAGTGTGACCCGGCCCAGTAACGCCCGACCGGCACGCGGGTGCTCAGCCGGTTTGGATGGCTGATAGACGCGGTGGAAGGATCGCAGTGTTTTGGAGCCGGCCCAGAGGAGCACGACTCCGCGCTTTCCGTCTCGGCTGCTGGCCCGGATTCTCCGGCTGGAACACATGTTTAAAGATTGCAAAAATGCATGTGTATTACTACGCGTGTAAACGGAAACAAAACCCTGCATATAAGCTCAATTTCACATTCAGCCACGAAAACGTCGGGCAACGTGTCATCACAAGTCACGAAATATTTGGCAGGAACACTGAACACAGCATTCGTCGCAGGTTGGCATCCAAACTCTTTCTCACGATCTGATAATGGCTCCGCACTTATGAACCAACTATACAAGCTACAACGACCAGAAAGCTCGCTTTGCTTTGACACGGTCACATCCTCACTCGCGACCGGTTCCGTTGTGAGTTTGAGGAGCGAAGGGCCCGCGCGACGCACGCTGGGGCGCGGGAGAAAACGTGACACGACGTGCTCCGACCTGACCCACAGCGCGACAATCACCGAAGCACTTGCAGCGCGCCAACAGTCATCCGCCCACAGCGAAAAAAGAACGCGAACGTAGAAGCGAGTTCCTATGCAAGCACCCTGTCGTCCCGCGCGCCGAACACGTCATCAGGATCGGCACGCGTACGGTTCAAGCAAATGATTTGGCAAACGAAGCTCAGCGCACCCCGCCAGACCTGCACATCAAACATATCCCTGATCTGCTACAGATCAAACCATTACACAGCCCTGGCCACTCTGAGCACCATCGGCTGGTGTTATTTTTGCGCCTGACGTCTGACGTCGAGGCTTGGGTCATCACGTCACACAGCCACCATCGGCTGGTGTTATTTCTGCGCCTGACGTCCGACGTCGAGGCTTGGGTCATCACGTCACAAAGCCCTGGTCACTGAGCACCATTGGCTGGTGTTATTTCCGCGCCTGACGTCTGACGTCGAGGCTTGGGCCATCACGTCACACAACCTTAGTCACTCTGAGCACCACCGGCTGGTGTTATTCCTGCGCCTGACGTCTGACGTCGAGGCTTGGGTCATCACGTCACACAGCCCTGGTCACTCTGAGCACCATTGGCTGGTGTTATTTCCACGCCTGACGTCTGACGTCAAGACTTGGGCCATCACGTCAATCCATCCGCTCACTACCATCCTTGCTATCGTGCTAACACCCACAGTCCGCTCTTTATATCTGGTCCAACCCTAAGCAGCCTGTTGATCCAAAAATACTGCGGTTAACCACTTGTGCTTAAATTGCACCACCGGGGTATACATCTATGACTATACATAAAATGGCACTTACAAGTGAGACTAACGTTAAATGTTAAATCTGTAAAACGAGTTGCGCTATATAATGCCTGCGGCAAATCACTCGACAAGCGTAAAATTTGCCTCAGAACTTCCCCTAGAAACGTGTGCGCTTCTAAAGCGTGCGTTACGAAAAACACGGACACGAAGCGAGCTTGCGTCAGTGGCGCCTGACGTCTTTGGGAGAAACTGACAGGACGGAAGGCCAGGTGCCAGAACTACATACCGCTACAGCCAACCACCAAGGTTTCATAAAGACGACTACTACCGCTCACAACTAGCGTTCAACTTGGGTCAGTGACCTCCGACAACCTCGGCACGTCACTTCATGTCAAGGAGGGGACGTGATCCGTGACACAGCTAAAAATGACAGACTGCATGTGGCTGTGGCACAAGACATCTAAAATCGGCCAGTGTACTCGCGACTATGGAGCTACGTCGAACAGTATCACCGGAAGAAGCGGGGGGGGGGGGGGGCGGGGGATGAGGCCACGCGCTCGACAGTGCGGGCTACCTGCCGCATAAATCGCTGCCCGCTTGACCCCTTGAAGGACCGCACCCAGGGTTCATACGGTTCGCGACCACCGAGGTCACAGAATAAGGCAATGACTGCATGCCGCCAGTCGGCGCTGGTAGAGGTTACGCAGTTAGTCACGCATATAGAAATACTTCTCAGGAAATCCGCGCTTCAAAAAAACCTGTTGCGCCAACCCTGCTGCGCGCTGGATGGTCACCGTCTGACGGCACTCATTCGCATCAAAACAACGTGGCCTGTACAAGGCAAGACGACCAGAATGCTGGGTATCCCAGAGCTCCTATGCGATACATAACGAAACAGCTTACCATCTCCTACTTTGTTCCCTAGACTTCCTAACGTCCTCAGTCTTTTACAACGCTGAACAAAATGTCATCAAACCACAGAGAAACTACAATTTCAACCTTTTTGAGTTCCTTCTCTAAATACATCACTTGTGCACAACAACCGTTAACTATCACTCGACACCCTTTAGGTGTTCGCGATCTCCGCCAAAGCGCAGTTTGATTCCGCTCCTGGGTTATGGGCACAACACGGGTGGTGGCAGAACACTAGCGTGGTTAGTGGTACCGCGCCGGGCGTACTAGTCCCGGCGCTTGTTAACATGATATCACGGGAGGTCCCCCGGCACGCGTCCCGCGTCCGGGACCGTGCCGGCGACCGCCACACGCGCCCGCGGCCACCCGTCACCGGCGCCGCCCGCACGCCCAATCACAGCCCGGGTGTCACCCGCTTTAGCGACCCGTCCACGCCTGATGTGGACCCGTCCACGCCTGATGTGGACCCGACAACGCCTGATGTGGACCCGTCCACGCTTGATGTGGACCCGACAACGCCTGATGTGGACCCGTCCACGCATGATGTGAACCCGTCCACGCATGATGTCGACCCGTCCGCGCTTGATGTGGACCCGTCCACGCCTGATGTGGACCCGTCCATGCCTAATGTGGACCCGTCCGCGCCGGCCCCGTCTGAGCCCTGAGCGCCGCGTCTGGGCATGTCAGAGGCGCGAGAGGAGCACCAGCAGACACGGCCCCCGGGACACCGGAGTCTGGGCAGAGCCCGGTCCAGACGCCAGAGCCTCGGCAGGGCCCGGCCCAGACGCCGGGGCCTCTGCAGAGCCCCGCCAAGACAACGGAGCTTCGGCAGGGGCCGGCCCGCGCCCCGTCTTTATAAGACAGTGGCGGCTTCTGGGGGCGAGCCCGGCCTATGCCGCGGCGTCCGATGTCCAGACGGCCACATGCCGGCCCGACCAGGGCCGCGCGCTGAACCAGCCCTCCCCTCTCCCTGCTCACAGACCCCACCAACCTTGCCCGTGGCCGTCTCGCCGGGTATCTGGCTTCACTCCCAAGCCCTCGGTCCGCTCTTACGGGTCTTCAGCCCGGCGCGTGGCCAGGCGGCGCGTTCGTCCACCCCTGCCCTCCCCTGGGGACGCCGATGACGCCCAGGTCTTTCGCATCATACACAGCCAGTAGACGGACCACCTCAAAGTCCGGCGGTTCCCTAGTCCACATCTCACACGTCCGGCGGTGTACCCTGGTCCAGCTCGGCTGTCTAGTCCACATCTTTACGCATCCAGCAGTGCAGCCTGGTCCGGTTGCGCGGCCTAGTCGACCTCCTCGTAGACGCGGCGTCGCTTGGCGGCGAGCTCCTGCTCCTCGACAGCGTCGGCGTCGGCCTGGGCCTGGGTGGAGCCGTGCGCCGACGAGCAGGCCGCGTCCAACGGCTCTCCCGCCATCAGCTCCTCGACCGTCTCTGGACCAGAGCTGAAACAGCGGGGCTGGGCTCGAACGGGGGCCGCGGACAGGGGCTGGAGCGGGCGCAGCTGGAGTCAGACAGCGGGGAATCTCCGACCGATTCGTCTAGCCATCCTACCAACCCGGGGAGCAATCCCTCCTCCCCGCTAGTACACCTGGCCACCAAGCCGACTGCGATCCGACACCGGCCCGACTCTGATCCGTCATCGGCCCGGTACTGACCTGTCGCGGGCCCGAACCTCGCCCGTCGCAGGTCCGACACTGATCTGTCACCGGCTCGATACTGACCGGCCCGACAATGGAGCGCCGCCGGCCCGACACTGACCCGTCACAGGCCCGACACTGACCAGTCACCGGCTCGATACTGACCGGCCCGACACTGACCCGTTGCTGCCGCTCTGGCACGGCGCGCTGCTCGCCAGGTCGTTCAGCACCCGCTCCAGAGTCGTCACGAAGGTGCGCGCGTTCGACATGGTGAAGCACATGGGCGGCGTCAGCTGGAGCACGTTGTCGTCGGGCGCCAACGTGGCCGTGATGATGCGCGCGTCCTTCAGCCTGCCGGAGAGGGCACGGCCAGGGGTCACCGGCCGCCCACCACGCAGACACGACGAATGCGCCTCGATGCGAGGCGCTGCGACAGTCTCTACTCCATTATGTCTTAGTTTTCTATCGCAATTTTTACAGCCCAAATCATGCGGCAGATGTTTCGGTGCAGTGCTCCTTTTTCTTTCTTTGCAGGCACAGATGTCATTTCTAGAATGGGAGATCCTGGAGCATAAAAGATATGCGAGTGAGATATTCATTGTGAACGTCGGGATTTTTCGCAGGGATTTCACGTCAATTCCGTTGCAAGTTGGCCTGAAAACTGCAGGATAACGGCAAAAAGCTTCTGCAAACACCAGCAATTAAGCGCTTGGTAAACGTGACAAGTGCTGGTCGGAATATACTCCATTTATGCCAATTACGTATATAATTGACGTCATCTAAGGGCATGAGGTAAGTCAGCACCTCAGTAGAGGTGAACTTTTGCAATCTGCACAACAGGTCGCGTAAGTGTCTTTGCGACAATCACGTTAGTGGAAGTCGAGCATGTACGTCAGTAGACCACGTAATATATCGCCGGTACACACGGGCCTTGCAAACACAGCCTAGCAACGCACACATCGAAGAAGATAACCCCTACAAAGTCAAAGCGCTCTTCAAATCGTCACTGCCCTGAACTCCTTCGAAGAAAATTAACGCCTCAACATGTTTTTTTCGTTTAATTCTCGTGATAGTGGCCTCATATTTGTACGCTTCGTTTCCCTGAACACTGTCCTGAGATACCATATGATCCATCGCACAACTAGATCGGCCCCTCGTGTGCTGCAAGCCCGCGTGGCTTACTGCACACGAAAGAGGATCCGGGCAAAGTTCAGGGTGATACACAAGGCTGTTTCAGCTGAAGCTGTACATGCTCCTCGCCCCGCGCGCATCGCTAGCTGTTGGATCTAGCGCCCAGACCGGCTGCCAGCCGTCGCTACGTGCAGCTAAATGACGCTGTGAAAGCATCTAGGAAAAACCGCCCGCTGCCTGTCCTTTTGTCGAAAATGTTTTCGACCTCCGACAACCGACTTGCACTTGGTGAGTGAACTAATACAGCATTCCCCGCAGATGCAAAAAAAAAAACGATGACTTCTCAGAAGTCGGAGGCATGGATCAGAGCTGCCTCCAGGCGTCACGCAACAGGGATTTCCGGCTGAATCGTAAACTTTGGACAGCGAGGATCAGTGCAGGGACGAAACACCTGCCATTTCAAAGGCGCGTTCCATTAATCAACAACTGTCGCGAAAAAATAAATGGCACTAGAAGACGAAACACCGGATCAGTCTGTCGGTAAATCGCCACATCTTAGCGCACAGCCGCAACGGAGGCATCATTAGAGCTCATACATCACGCATACCTCTGTGAGACGGCTAAACCGAAGCCATGTCGACGACTATCGCACGGACTTTGAGATGGCGTCAATTTCCTAAACACCAGCACACGACGAATCACCGCCGTACAAGATTCAACAAGTCCGGGAGAAGCGCGCCGGTCACGCGAACTAGGCGCCCACCCTGCCGCGGATTCATTGGGAACTTTCGGGTGCGTCGACCGCAGCTGAGGCCCTGTTCCCTCCAGCGCCCTGATCGGCCGCCGAGATGAGCCGCTCCGCGAGCCTGATCACCACGTAGCCGGATCCCCGCCGGCCGCGGCGGCCGCCGAGCGCGCGGCAGCTCCGGCGGGCCGTTAGAGCCTAATGACACGGCTCAGCCCGGCGGCCGGCTCCGCTGAAGTCGCGTGACGCCGGCCAGCCCGTCGCATCATCGGCGCATTCCTGTACAGCCGGCCCGCGGGATCAACGCAGTACAGTGCGCCGTGCCGCCACGGCCTCCGCCGACGGAAACGATGCCAGGCGCCGCCTGGTGACGCGCCGTCGCCGCCGACCACGGCGGCGACGGCGCGTCGCCAGCTGTTTGTCTGAAGGCTGCGGCTGTTTCATCAGCTAATCGGTCACATGCCTCATGTGGCATCACACGTAACACGGCCGACAGCCATTCAGGCTGAGTCATGCCAGGCTCCAGCGGCCTTTCAACCTTAGTCTTGCATGGCAGGCATGCGGACAAGCACGGACGCGGATGCTGTAGGACTGTGCCGCTCGTCACCGCTCCTTCCTGATCCTGACCCTCCTTCAAAGGTCTTGAGCATGCGGGCACGCCGCCAAGGTAATTAGAAAGCGCACGCTACCCTGGCTTTAATCGCACCCAGTGACATCAGCTTTCAATGGTGGAACCAAACGGCGGTTATATAAACATCACAAACTTGTCTGTGCGCAAAAGCTCGTCTAAGCTCCATCAAAGATAATCAGCATGAGCCAGCAATTTTCCCATTAATATCGTGTGCACACGCTCCGCTGGCCTCTTGATGTTGGATCGGCTCATCCACCGTACAATGGTCGGTGACAGCAGACCGCGCTGGATTGAACAACAGTGCACGACACGGTCAGCAGGACCCAAGGTGCGGCGCGAGACGAGCCGAGCGAGAAGACAGGTGAGAGCTGTCAGTAGTTACCATGTGGAGAATGTCAACACATAGACACTGAAGCATTCGGACGGTGAGTCACAAACCACATCCACTGAAAATGTGCTTGCTATGCTGCCGACCAAGGGCAAAAAGGCTTAACAGCTATAATTAGTGGCGCTCAGGCCTTTTTACCTATGAACGGCAGCGCGACTCGGGCCAGTCTTGAAAATTGAATCAATGATTTGATGATGAACATGCGATCATTCACGGTGTTGGCAAATGTGGCGAGAATACCAATTTCCAAGCATTGCGAAAAACGCAGATCTTCCGGAACGAAAGCTTACGAAAAAACAAAGCCTGCGGGCTTTTGCCGAGCCTCTCTCTCCCGGCTCAGCCAACAACCTCTCATATTCGAAATTGCTGCAGGAGATGTGACATCGTCCGCTTTCCTGGACGACTAGTGGCGCACCTGTGGCTAGGCGCCTCCGGCTGTCTTACCATCTGCTCAGTGTTGCTGGTGAGCTGCAGCGTTCATCTTAGCATGCGTAAGTTACAGCCAGTGCGTTCGACTCCACCGGCCAATTAAGTCTCGTCCTCGTTTGGCCCGGTCGCTGAGAGCTGACATCGGGCCTTAAAGCCACTCCAAAGGCAGACGAGCCCGCGGTTTGCCCATGAGAGCGCGTAACCAAGCGCACACGCCGACCCAGACGTTTAACGTAGCGATTGTCCTCGCTCTCAGTCGGAGCTTGTTAGTCCCCATCCGCTCTGACGTCAGGTCGCTGGCATCTGAACCCGTTTTCGACCCATGTTCTCCATCTCCTCTGACGTCAGGTCGCTGACATCTGGACCCGTTTTCGATTCATGTCTTCCAACTAGTTTGGCGCCGTTTGAAAACTTCATCTTTTCCATGTTAATGTTATGGAGAGATGCAATCTCGTTGATCTAACAATACAGCATGAAACGCCCGTCCGCTAAAATGCTTTGAAAGAAAATGCCTTACAAATTATCCAGCGTAGCGTTTAAAGAGCAGCACTTCTTGTCGCTCAAAACTGCACGAGCCTGTGACGAGCGGCTGCAAAGATATGAGCTCTTAGAGCGTGAGTTGGTCGGGCTGGACGGCTCACCTTGCAAAAAAAGAAACACAAAAAGCCAACTTAGTTCCATCTGCTTGCGACCCTATTCAAGAAAAACAATGATAATTCGAGCTAACACACTAGCAGATACACGGAACATGGCGTGCCGCAGTGGAGAAATGGGGATGCTGTTTGGGTGGGTAGCCCGGGCATCCGTTTGAAGTGGGCTACTGGTTGACGTAGTAGATTGGAATGTTGGGCGCAGCACTGGGCCTCACAGTGGCTGCCGTTTTGAAATGCAGGTAAGTAGCGTGCCCGAGCTCCGGACGAGCGGGCGATTTTTCAGGGTGCGGTGCTGAGGTAGCCTGCCCTCCGGCGGCGTATCGGGGATGTACCAGGCTTCCAAGGAGTGGTGAGGCGGATTTAGGTACCGGGTGATGATAATGACCTGGGGGGGAGGGAGAGAGGGAAAGGGAGGGAGAG